GGGGGAGGAGATTAATGGAACTGAAAAGTAATAATGACAGTTGGAGATGTGTTCGAGCTTCCTGAAAAACCACTGGTTTTGCATTTCACTGTCACCGTGCCTGTCATCAGTGGTGTCTCTAGCCGAATAGCATTGTTTCTATGCTATACCTCTGACTGTCTGCTACCAGTGACGGTTGTTACATATATATCTGTTGTGTGTGTGTGTGTGTGTATGTAACGGGCAACTTGTTGTTATTGCCGTGTATCTATGGTAGCCAAGTCGACGACGTCTGTGGCATTGCTGTTGACGCTGTTGTTGATGATGGAATAAATTTTTCTTGTAACTTTGTATAGTTGTCGATTTTTCTCTGTTATATTCTCAACTTCTGGTTTTTCTACTTCCTTTTATTTTTTTATTTTATTATTTTTTTTTTTTTGAACAACAATAATTTCCTAATTGTTGTTGTTGTTGTTGTTGTTGTTGCTCCTGTTGTTTTTGTTACTGATGATACTGATGATAATATTAATGTTGTTGTTGTTGTATAATGATGGTTTTAATTTTTACAACTTAACTCAATTAAGAAAAAAGACACAACGAAGTATTGTCCTTGAGAAAAACACTAAAAATAAATATGACACATAGATGTCATCAGTCCACAGTGCTTTTTCATCATCATTTTCCTTTATCTCTTTTCACCCTTCTTTTGTCATGTTCTCTTTCGTGCAGCATTTTGTCTTTCATCAGTATTCGTTTTTGAAGAAGGGGAGAAAAAAAAATTTTTAATCTTATAATACTGGAATTTGTTGGTTTTTTGGAAGAAAAAGAAGAAAAGAAAAATTTATACCTTTACTTAAATCTTCAAGAAATATTTGTCATCTGATTTATTCAATTGTTGTTTCCTTTATGTTTGTTTCTGCAATTACCATAAACTGTATTATTAGTGCTGAACGTCGGTTTTTTTTTCTAGCTTATATAATTGTAATTTAATAGCGGAAAAGGGAAATGGTAAGATATTGAGAGGCTGAAGATCAAGGCATTGAATTGGTTAGGCAATCGTAGTAAGCTTTATCCAGTTGTAAATATTAGCTAGATTAGACTGCTGTATCGGTGACCAAGAACTGTAGGCTAAGTGATTAAGATATCAATGAATAAAGTGACTAACTGTTATACAATTATTACAGGTAGTGCAAGTAATGCATGGAGTGATCGGCAAAGTGCTAGTCCAACGTCATCAACGCATAGTGGAAATGGAGCAAATTCATCTTCGACAACGACAACTGAGCACGATAAATCTTGTTGATAGTAAGTGT